GAGATGTTCCTCAACAAAATTTTGTACCTACTTTGTCTTTGGTTGGCTTTGTTTTGTTGAGCTAAAGTAGCCTAGGCTTGTTTGGAACTCACTATGTAGATCAGGCTAGCCTCAAACTCACAGAGTTTGCCTGTTTCTGCCTCTGTGGGCCACCATGACTTCCCCTTTGTCTTGATATGCCTCTCCCCAGGCATTGGGCTTTGGGTTTCTCTAAGATGGTTTTCCTCTCTTCCTGTGTGTGTGTGTGTGTGTGTGTGTGTGTGTGTGTGTGTGTGTGTGTGTGTGTGTGTTTCTTCCTTTTTTGTGTTTTGTGTCATTTCTTGTGAATTTGAATAGATTTTATAGAGAATTCCAAATATGTGTGTAATGTTTTTATCAAATCCGCCCTCCTTCCCGATTCCATCCCTGCCAATTCCTCTCCTATGCCCACCATTTTTCCCTCCCGTCATATGCTGTGTGTTTTGAAACCACTGAGTCCTCTTAGTGATACTACACATGCATGGATGTAGGGCTGTCTACTCGAGCGTGGGGAGCCTCTCAGAGGTCAAATGCCTGAAGAAAATAACCTCCCCACCCCTACCCACCCACCCCTGCACCCAGCAGCCTTCAATTGCCAGTAGCTCCTCAGATAGGAGTGGGACTTCAGTGATACCCTCCTCCATCCAGGACTAGCTTGATATTGTGTAACAGTCAAAGCCCAGAAAGATGGTTCAGCGGGAAAGAGCACTTGCTGGGCAAGACTGAGGGCCTGAGTTTAAATCCCCAGCACATACATGGGGAAAAAACAAAACCAAAAAAACACTGGATATGAATGACCACCCATGCCTGTAACCCCAGCGACTAGGGGTGGGGGTGGACCTTCAGATTCATCCAAAGACGAAAGAAAGAAAGAAAGAAAGAAAGAAAGAAAGAAAGAAAGAAAGAAAGAAAGGAAGGAAGGAAGGAAGGAAGGAAGGAAGTTAGGATAAAGCTTAAAGGGGTCCTTGGGTTGGGGACCATGGTGGATTCCATGGCAGGCAAGGGTGACAAGGCGGAGGGACAAACACACCAGGCAGACAGAGCTTAAGTGAGAAGTTTAATTAGAAAGGAGAGGGAGGGAGAAGGAAAGAGAAAAGAGGTAAAGAGACACAGAGACACAGAGAGATAGGACAGAAGAGAAGAGGGAGACAGGAAAAGTCCTGACTGCTCCAGGGAAGCAGCGGGAAGAGAGCTGGGAAAGAGGAGAAAGAGAGGGGAGAGAAGAGCCAGAAAGTGAGCAAAGAGAGCGTGTGTGGGCGGAGTCTGTGTGTAGACTGGTACTCATGGGACCCTGGGCTGACCAGGGTACTGCCTGAGTGCATTCTGCCAGGTGACAGGGGCAGGCCACCATAATGGCTGAGTCCTTACAAAAGGAAGGGAGGGAGGAAAGAAGGAAGGGAGGGAGGGAGGGAGGGAGGGAGGGAGGGAGGGAGGGAGGGAGGGAGGGAGGGAGGAAGGAATCCAGTCCTCTTCCCTCTCCAGCAACACTAGAAAGCAATGCCATCAAATACTCTCAGCCTTTTGTTAGCATGTATACACACACATGCACACACTCTCACTCAGACTCATACTTGCACACAAACACAGACACACTCACAGGCACACTCACACACACACCATCATTCCTGCTTTCACGGTGGGGCAGTGGCTGCCTCAAGCCATCCTGCTCTCTCTCTCTCTCTCTCTCTCTCTCTCTCTCTCTCTCTCTCTCTCTCTCTCTCTCTCTCTCTCACTCCTGAGGTGTCAGTCATCTGTCCAATTCAAAGACCCCGATGTTGCATAACACAGACGAGAACAAGATATAGGGAAAGATCGGTGAGACTGGGAGATGATGGTGGGGGGATAAAAAGAAGCAGGATAAAAGAGAGAGGGCGAGATCTAATGCAGTTAACAAAAAGTAAACAAAACATCCTGTTTCCACATTTTACATTTCTATAGCTGCTAGAGTGAGCAAGTTGATTCTTTTACCTGCATGAAATTTTGGATTGAAATCTCAACCTCACCATCTACTATGAAGACCGTTTAGCTTATCTTCTCTGGCTCTGTCTCCTTATTTGTAAATTGGGAAAAGAAAAAGTGCTTGCCTTGCAGAACTTCTGCAGAGATGAACTGAGTACAGAAACTGCTTAGAACAGCAACTGGCTCATCAAAAACCCTCAACAAAGGCTAGGAACTAGTCTCACTATTGAAATTCAGCTCTCTTGGCCATGAGAAGGAGAAGGAACCAATCCTCACTAAACAGTAAGTTCAGAAGGACATGTATCACTTCCCAAATCAACTATGGAATACTAGAATTGAAAACAACTCATGAATTCTAGAAAGTTCTGTACCTTTTCAAAACATGTTTCTTGCTTTCTGTTCTCAACAAAGAATAAGTGCAGGTACCCTCCCTGCTCCAAATGAGTTAAGAGAGTTGGCATTTATGACCCTGTAGATCTATAAATTCTATGCTAGAAAAAAATGACTAAAAGGAGTTGAACACACCCCACAGCAGTGTAGGAGTCAAGTGCACCCCACAGCAGTGTGGGAGTCAAGCACACCCCACAGCAGTGTAGGAGTTGAGAGCACACCCCAAAACAGTGTGGGAGTCAAGCACACCCCACAACAGTGTAGGAGTTGAGAGCACACCCCAAAACAGTGTAAGAGTCAAGCGCACCCTACAGCAGTGTAGGAGTCAAATACACCCCACAGTAATGTTCACACAGCCCTGAGGGTAAAGGCTAAGAGAAACATCCTCCCTTTCCCAGACCAGAATTCACATGAATGCATTTTCTCTGGACTCCCCTGACCTCTTCAAGCTAACACAAATCCCAGCCTCGATGGAAAAAATAAAAGTAATCCACGAATCTCAGTAGACAGTTTGAGACCCATTTCTTATATTAGAAAGACAATACAATCCTTTGGGCTGGTGTCAGTTTTCCAGTCTGTGATCCTCTCATTGCTATTAAGATGATGGGGTTTATCAATCAGGCTAGTAGGTATAGTCCACATCCTTCATATTCCAGTAGATTGGCTCAGTAAGATTTCCCTCTGCATAGTGGTCATACAATGGACATCGTGATTTGGACAGTATCTTAGTGAATCTCCTCCATATAGCAATCTAAGGGCAGGTCTTCATTCATACTGAGACTCAGCCCCACAGTGGGATACAAAATCTACCCCACACAGTCTTAAATGCATGAAGGCAGTGAAAGGGCTCTGTAGGCACGCCTGGAACAGGGTGCTCCTCCAGTCACGCACACTGCAGAGAGACTGAGAGACACTGAGCGATGATGGAGCTTGTGCCAAGAAGAAAGAGGAAGCCAGGTGTCCAGAGATCCAGGATAAGGCCCTGCAGTAGAGAGCCAGCCCCCACATAAGAAATAACTACCAGGACACTCTTCTTTCCTGTGATTTTCAGAGATGAACTGGGCCCTTAAGAAACCAAATCTACAGAACCAAGGGATCTCTTCAAGCAGAATTGCTGTGTTGTGGCGTCAGCATTACACGGATGTGGTACAAGCTTGTGGCATCAGCATCACATATACATGGTATAAGCTTGGATTGTAGGAAGGCTTCTCTCCTCAGCCTAAACCTCTTCACAGGCATCACGGGAAGTGTGATGGTGACTGCTAACCCACCATGAGAAGGGATAGCATTCTTGGGCCTCGATTCTGGCACCATCAGCCTCTAAGCTTAGCATTTATAACAGCCTTCACAGCCTCTACCGGTATCCTGGTGCCATCTCTCCTAAGATGCAGAGCCATGTAGAGTGCACGGCAAGGATTGCACACATGTGGCTCCGAGGTGAGGGTGGGGTCGGTATGTGTGTGCACACAGCTATGGAGCCTCATCTCTTGTACTTCACGTACTGTCTCCCATTTTTGTCGTCGTGATTGAGACAGGGGCTCTCGCTGGGCTGAAACACACCCGTTACATTAGTCTGGGGATCTGCTCATGTCAGTTTTCTCAGCTCTGGAATTCAAGTGCATACTTCCATTGAGAGAGCAGGGTCAACTAGAGAGGATGGAGTTAACTCCCTCCTAAGAAAAAGCCACCTTGAGAAATTTCCTGTATGGCACAAAGCTGATTCAGCTCCAGCCAAGGAGCCATAAACAATTCTGAGAGAAATCAGAAACTATGTCTGCTCTGGTCAAACCCACCCCACTGGATGGTCAGGCAAGGACTAAGTCTGGGAAAACAACATTTTCTCACCACAACTGTCCTTGTGAGCAACTGTTAGCAACAATTTTGCAATTTCCCTAGACCCCACTCAATGAATCCAAAGGTCACCTGTTCTTACCCAATCCTGGGAAGCTAAGGCATGCGCCACCCTGCTTCTGTTTTTTTTCCTTTATAAACCCCTTGTGATAGAGACCAGAAACCCTTTTCCTGGAGCTTCTGTGCCAGTATGATGGACAGGGTCCCTGCCGAGGCTTGTAACTTAACAATAAACCTTGTGCGTTTGCATCGGTGAGTCGACTCCTTTGTGATCTTTTTGGGGTCTTGGAACCAGGCATAATACCATGCTAGATCATTTTAACTTGGGTTCTAGGAATCCAACTCAGACCTTTGTACTTAGAAAGCAGGCACTTTGCCAACTGAGCTATCTTTCCAACAATATTCTTTTCTTTTCTTTCATTGTATTCAGCTTTATATTTTGAGGCAGCATCTTGCCAGGTCTGTAGCTTTGGCTACCCTGAAGCTCAGCATATAGCCCACATTGTTAAGTGTTTTCTATAAGTGCTTAACAATAATCTCTCGCCTCCTAAGTGGTAGAACGGCAAACACTCACCACCATATCCAGAGACTTCCAAACTTTGGAAAATGATTCTCCTGGGCTCTGAAGTGTTCACTCAAAATCTTTTTTTCTAGGTCAGGTATGGTGGTACACACCTCTAATCCTAGCACCTGGCAGAGGTAAGCAAATCTCTGAGTTCAAGACCAGCTCTATCTACATAGTGAATTACAGGCTAGCCAGAGCTATGTAGTGAGACCCTGTCTCACCAAAATAAAAAGATTTTTATTAGAAATGGACAGTTACAAATTAGGAGTGTAAATTGATAATATTGGGAAAGATCGAATACTGGGGGTTGGGTGGGGCTCAAGGTGTGGGTAGGGACATGAAAGAGATCACAGAGCAGTGAAACATGTGACATGTGCCAAAAAGAAAGTAAGTGTTTTCTATCTAAAGTACAATCAGTGGTTTTTATTTCTCCCCTGGGCAGTAAAGGAGTTGTGAAAGGTTGCTGGTGTGTTTAGATGTGAAGAAGGATCGTGGGAGTGATAGTCCCCAAAGGATCAAAGCAAGGCTCTCATCAGGAAGAGACTGGTCAGAACAGAAGAGATGGGCCTGAGTGGGGGGCTCGAACTGAAGCAGTAGGTATCGATTTTTACATGTTCCATGACGGTCATATTCCTCAAGCTACAGGCAGTTTCAGTGGCGCAACCCATTCCTTGTATCACAGATCTGGAAATAAAGTCTGTAAATGAAAAGACCCAGGAATTATTCTTCTCTCTCATTTCATCTCCCCTCCTCACCTACATCCTTTGAAAAGGAACCGTGCTCAGAATGGTCCAGAATCCACCACCTCCACCTCTGCATGAGAACATGAGCACACTTCTATCCACGTGCAGGCTGGGCCTTCTTGTCCTCTGGTCCTATTGTCTCCTCCATATTGAAGGGCTCTCACATCTCAGACACAAGACTAACATGGAGGCCTTTGGGTGCCCCTTGCTAGGAGGGATGAGTTTGATGCAGGCAAGGAATAGGCCAGGTGCAGGGTCTCCACTGTTGGCTAACACCCCTTCTACGGTACCTGTCTTCCCTCCCCTACCATTTCCCTCCTTCTCTGCCAGGAGGAAGACATTGTGGATCCCCCCACAAACTGAAGTTCCTTCTTTGAGCTCTGAGCTCCCTCTGAGAGTAACTATGGAATGTTCTGGTAGCTACTATTCCCAAGACAAACTGCCCCATTGTGGATGGCTTTAAATCCCCTTTGCATTCTGTGACACCCCATTTTCTTCATTTGTCTCAACTCATCTAGACAAAGGGCCCTTCCCTTGCTCACCCCAGAACCTCTGTCAAAAGTCTTTCCAAGTAAAACCATGGCTTGCCTCTAGACCTATCAGTTTCTCGGTTTACTGCTTAATTGGCTCCTAAAACACCAATGTTCCATGGAACTTTCCATATATTGTTCAGTAAAGAGCTGCCAGCTTCTCCCCCCTAACAGTGCATTCCATAAAGAAAAAATCTTACAATTGTTTTTCCAGCTCCTGTCTCAATGGTATATGTGTCCTTCATAATAAGTATACAATTTTCTCTTAATAAAAAAAACCATATATCTTTTTACTAAATATAGAGTGACACCAGGTAAAACTTGAGTGCTTAATCACAACCTCTGGTTGCCACAAGGGCAGCAGTGGTAAAGACATCTGAACCTGAAGTCCCATCACCTCCTATACTTCCAGTGAGCCACATCCCATTGCCGGACATCACAGAAACACAGGTACCCAAACCTGACTCTTCTAGAGGAAGCAGTTACATTCCTTCATCCTCTTCCCTTCCATTCCATCCTTAACTCTTGTCTCCCAACAAATGACTCCTTCCAAACCTTAGAAGCACATGGTCCCATATGATCACTTTCTCCATGTGGAGACAAGTTTCAAAGATGCCCCACAGAGTATCTTCCATCTCCTGGCAGCTTCCACCCATGTGCAGTCAGGGTTTCTCTAAACTACCAACAGTCTATAGGAGGAAATGATGTGTCACTTCTGAGATTGGAGTGTTAAATCCATGGCTTCCCTTCTCTCTGTCTCTATAGTTTGCTCTAAGGAAAGCCAGTGGTTAGTCATGAGAACATCATGGTAGACTATGAAGAGGCCAGAAGAAAAGGAATTGAAACCCACCAGAAACCACAAGTGAGTTGGGAAGCAACTGCTGACAAATGAACACAGCCCCCATGACAATCACTGAACCAGAACCACACACCTGGCCATTCTCAGATCGCAGATCTACACATGCTGCTATGTAATAAATGTTACTGTGCTGTTTCTACATTTGCCATAATTCACTGCATAGTGATGAATGATTTGTTTTGCTCTTAACAAGAAGCTTGAAGGAGTACTCATACCTCTGCCAATAACCTCAATACACTCCGTCTCTGCCCCTGTGCACTTCAGGGAAACTGTGTTACAGGTGCCATTATTACTGTAGCAGGCAGGACATTCAACTCCATTGGGTTGGGAAGATGGTGGAGGCACTGAATGGAGAGAGAAAAGTTTTCATCTTGGGAACAGGCAGAAGAAATAGCTGAGAGCGTATCGACCCACTACTCATCTAACACTGGTTTTCTGCACGAGTCTACCAAAGAGCATTACAGCTAGGATAAACTGAACGGAGGCACAGGAGAAAGACACTGGTGTGGTGTGCAATGAAGGGACTCATAGAAACCCAGTGCTGTCAGTTACTCGGCTCTCATTCCTGGAGAAAAAGTCCCAGGTAGACAGCCAGGGCTGCACAGAGAAACCGTGTCTCAAAAAAACAAAACCAGGAAGGAAAGAGGGAGGGAGAGAGGGAGGGAGGGAGGGAGGGAGGGAGGGAGGGAGGGAGGGAGGGAGGGAGGGAGGGAGGGAGGGAGGGAGGGAGGGAAGGAAGGGAAGGGAGGGAGGGAGGGAGGGAGGGAGGGAGGGAGGGAGGGAGGGAGGGAGGGAGGGAGGGAGGCAGGCAGGCAGGCAGGCTAGATAATGGGAGAAGAGAATCTATTTTCTAGAAAGATGCTATTCATATGGTAAGGAATGAACCAGGTGTGGTCATGCACACCCATACTCCCAGCTACTCCAACTTGGAAGGCTGAGGCAGGAGGATTGCTTGAACCTAGAAGTTCAAAACAAACTTCATAAATACAGCAAGACTACTTCTCAACAAAACAAAAATGAACTTGAGGAATTAAATGGGTGGGAAAAGCAGAAAGTCAGAGTAAAGCAGTTAAACCAAAAGACTCACACTTGGAGGAAAATCCCCAAGACCATCCCTGCCACCCAACTGTCACTCAGTCTATCACACAGGAGAAGAGCCTGTATATATCTCAAACCATTTTCAAGGAGCGCTGTACACAAAAGGAAGGCAAATGTCAGTGCTATGTCCCAGCGCAGAGAGACGAGCCCACAGAACGGCAAAGGAGACGTGGAGCAGATAGTGGAGACAGCTACTCACCCCGCTTGGACTCGTTATTGCACTGCTCAGAGTAGCAGCATCGTTGTTCATATCTAAACATTTGACGGTTTCCCATTGTTGCTGAGAATGCTAGTTCAGTACACTCATCTTTAGAACAGCCTTTCTTCTCGAGCCTTAGGCTTGCGGGTTGAGAAGCAAATCCCCCAGAAATGGTCCCTTCTGAGACACAGAGAGAGTGAAGCATTGGGTGGTAAGGAATCTGTTCTTTCATTCCCTCTGTCTTTATTTTTCCTTATCTCCAAAAGTCCCTCTGTTATTATTTCTGAGAATGTATCAACACAGGGACACTTGTTGTAATGGGACCAGGGTCCAGTGAGAGTATTTGCTCAGCGTGATGGTGCCATGAATTTGATCCCTAGCATGGCAAAAATAAATGTGGGCTGACTCTCCAGTAGCTCTATGAGGTTGATAGCGCTCAGCTCTGTTCCTAGGGACTACATCCAGTGCCATTGCTCATCCCCATAACTTCCCAGAAGCCCACACTCCCAGACCCATCCTTGAAGAAGGCAAGGATAAATTAAGTGGCTATAAGAATGTGGGTTGGCCAAGGAGGGCCTCACCCTCCCTGGGAATGATGTGGGGATTGGGCTGGGGGGTGGGGGAGCTGGTGGAGGGACAAGAGTGGGGAGCTGGGATTGACATTTGAATCATGCATGTTTCTAATTTAAATACAAAAAGAAAAAAGGATTATAAAAGAGCACTGAAATATTGAAAAAATATTATTGAATGGGGTAATGGTGGTTATCCTTTAATAGTAAGATGGGTAGTTTTTCTTCACCTTTTTTGGGTATATTTTCTACATAGTATATAATAAACTTTGTATTATTTAGCTAAATAAAGATATAATGGTGCCCTTTAACTTAAAAAAAGCTCCTATTAGTTGTTTGTTCTTCATATATATATATATTATTTTATATAAATTTCCAATGCCAGGAAATATAAATATGTTCATATTTATATTAATTAACTGCCCCCAAATCCACCCAAATAACCACAGGTTTTTATATGGAAGGGGAATTTATAATAAAAGCAAATGAAACTTTGAAAAAAAAGAATGTGGGTTGGCTTACTTGGTGCTTCAAATTTCTGCTCTAAGTGGAAGCATCCTTTAGATGATTCACAAGTCCTCGGAATAGGGTTGCATCTGTTATTATAGCATTCTTCATTTTTACAACTGTAACTCTCTGCAAAGAGAAAACGAACATGCTCAGAAAACCATTCCAGGGGTTTGCAGCTGCTGACAAACTTTCCCAGGGGTCAAGGAGTCATGAATCTTAAAGGGATTCCTAAAGCCTTGAGTGATCCATGGAGTCCCCTAAAGTACCTTACTGCCCAACTCCTACTTCCTACCCTTGAAACAAAAAGTGCCTTGTTATTCTTACCCACAGAGCTGACAGATAAGTGGGTGAAGATGCAAACAGCAAGGAGACCCTTCAGAACTGAGGACCAGGACATGGTGAGTCCCATGAACACTGCACAAAGAATAAGAGAGGACAAAGGAATCAGAGCTTAGGGGCTCAGCCCTTGCAATCCAACAACCCAAATGCAGGCAACATTATCTGTTCATGTTTCCATTCATTCTGCAAGCCAAACTTTATCAAACACTGACTTGATGCTAGATTTGGCCGTTTGGAAGGATGCAAAACTGGAAAAGATACTGTACCCATCATTGAGGCTACAAGGGAAGTCAGTCATCCTTCCCTGGGAAGAACTTTGACTTGAGAGGGATTCAGCTGAAATGGCTGAGTTGGTCAAGAAATGACTCCTCTGAGGAGCAGGTGGAGGCTCTCTTTGTGCTAGAAAGTTCTGGGCCATGGTACTCAACAGCCCTTTAGCTAAAGACATTGGTTCACCATTTCCAAAGCCACCGTTTCACAAAGCCAGCTTCCACCACCAGGTGTCAGAAGCATACACTGGAAATGCTCACCAAGAAGTAGTCTGGGTGGCTAAGGATATTGAGCCCTTTCTTAAGTGTCTTTCAACCATTTTCAATTCCTCTATTGAGAATTCTCTATTTAGTTCTGTAGCCCACTTTTTAATTGGATTATTTGGGTTTTTTTGGTGACTAGCTTCTTGAGTTCTTTCTATATTTTGGAAATCAATCCTCTGTCAAATGTGGGGTTAGTGAAGATCTTTTCCCATTCTGTGGACTGCTGTTTTGTCTTGTTGACTGTGTCCTTTGCCCTGCAGAAGCTTCTCAGTTTTAGGAGGTCCCATTTATTAATTGTCAATCTCAGTGTCTCGCTATTGGTGTTATGTTCAGGAAGGGGGTCTCCTGTACCAATTTGTTCAAGGGTACCTCCCACTTTCTCTTCTAAGAGGTTCAATGTGGCTGGATTTATGTTGAGGTCTTTGATCCATTTGGACTTAAGTTTTATGCGTGGTGATAGATAATGGATCTATCTGCAATCTTTTACATACTAGCATCCAGTTATGACATTTGTTGAAGATGCTTTCTTTTTTCATTGTATAATTTTAGCTTCTTTGTCAATAATAAGGTTTTCATAGGAGTGTGGGTTAATATCAGAGTGTTCAATTTGATTCCGTTGGTCTACCTACCTATATTTGTGCCAAGACCAAGCTTTTTTCAGTAGTATAGCTCTATAACAGAGCTTGAAGTCAGGGATGGTGATGCCTCCAGAAGTTCCTTTATTATACAGGGTTGTTTTGGCTATCCTGGATCTTTTTTTTTTCATATAAAGTTGAGTATTGTTCCTTCAAGGTCTGTGAATAATTGTGCTGGTATTTTGATGGGGATTGCATTGAATCTGTATATTGCTTTTGGCAAGATTGCCATTTTTACTGTTGATCCTACCTATCTAAAAGCATAGGAGATCTTTCCATTTTCTGGTTTCTTTTTTTAATTTCTTTCTTTAAAGACTTGAAGTTCGTGTTATGCAGGCCTTTCACTTGCTTTGTTAGAGTTACCCCAAGATATTTTATGCTGTTTGTGGCTATTGTAAAGGGTGATGTTTCTCTGATGTCTTTCTCAGCCCATTTATCATCTATATATAGTAGGGCTACTGATTTTTTTAGTTAATCTTGTATCTTGCCACTTTGCTGAAGGTGTTTATCAGCTGTAGGAGTTCCCTGGTAGAATTTTTCAGGTCACTTATGTAAACTATCATGTCATCTTGCATCTGTCAAAATGATTAAAATGAAAAACGCTAATGACAGTTTATACTGGAGAGGATGTGGAGAAAGGGAAACACTCCTCCACTGCTCGTAGGAGTGCAAACTTGTACAGCCACTTTGGAAATCAGTATGGTGGTTCCTCAGGAAAATGAGAATCAGTCTACCTCAAAATCCAGCAATTCCACTCTTAGGCATATACCCAAAGGATGCACATTCATACAGCAAGGACATCTGTTCAACTATGTTCATAGCAGCATTATTTGTAATAGCCAGAACCTGGAAACAACCTAAATGCCCTTCAACTGAAGAATGGATAAAGAAAATGTGGTACATTTACACTATGGTGTATTACTCAGCAGAAAAAAATAGAATCTTGAAATTCATAGGCAAATGGATGGAACTGGAACAAACCATCCTGAGTGACAAACATGGTATGTACTCACTCATATATGGATATTAGATATAGAGCAAAGGATTACCAGCCTACAATCTACAACTCTAGAGATTCTAGGAAACAAGGAGCACCCTAAGAGAGATACACAGGGTTCCCTGGTGAATGGGAAAGACTGATGAGCAAAGGGGTCAAGACTAGGATGAGGAAACCCACAGAAACATCTGACCTGAACAAGGGGGAGCTCATGGTTCCCAGACTGACAGCTGGGAAACCAGCATAGGACTGAACCAGGCCCCCTCAACGTGGGTGTCAGTTAGGAGGCCTGAGCAATTTATGGGGTCTCTGGTAGGAGAACAGTATTTATCCCCAGTGTACAAATGGACTTTGGGAACCCATTCCCCATAGAGGGATACTCTCTCAGCCTAGGCAATGGGAGAGGGCCTAGGTCCTGCTCCAAATGATGTGACAGACTTTGATGATCCTCCATGGAAGGCCTCATCCTCCCTAGGGAGCAGAAGGGGGATGGGACAGGGGGCTGGCAGGGGGCATGGGAAGATAGGAGGATGGGAGGACAGGAGGAAGAAGGAACTGGGATTGGTATGTAAAATGAGATTGTTTCTAATTTAAATTAAAAAATCTAGAGGAAAAAAGAAATAGTCCAGATTTCAGATTTCCTGAGCCTTAGAAGGAGAGAGAAGCCAGTGCTCTCACACCCAGACAGGAGGAAGGGAGCACACACAGTGAGTGCTGAGGAAGGGCTCGCTCTGGCCTTACTGTCCCTGACTTTTGCAACCTAGTGGTCATTCTCTCAGAAGTTAACATTATAAATTGATAGAATCTTAGCATGAAGCCAAATGCACTAAACAAGCTGATCTGCTAGAGATAGACACCATGAGAACAGCTTTCTGTGCCTCTGGTTGGCAGAGGGAGGAAGGAAGGGGAGAGGATCACGAGGCCTCTGGCATCTTCTGTGTTCAACAATTATGAAACAGAGTTTGGCCCACCGTGTGTGCCTAGCATCCTCCACATTTCCTCTGTCAGGTGCCACCCTTCCTTCCTCCTGGGAGTCAAACCTCAGGATACGTTTTCATCTCTGCAGGTGACAGACAGAATGTGTTTTTCTATATTTTCTTTCTCTTTCTGCTTATTTTTATGCCAAACTCTTGTTAGGGCACAGGTACTGTGTATTTTTCAATGGAGAAAAAAGACAAGCTAGAGGGACTCACTCTTCCTCTATCTTCCTGCAATCATCCAGATCTTGATCACATTCTCTCAAAATCCAGGACTGTGCCAAAGAATTGAGGGCAGGGAGAACCTTCCTTCCTGGGAACCCAATATGCTGAGCATTGAAGAAGGTCAGAGACTGTAGGAAAAGAGCAGCAGGCATGTCCAGGTGCCTCAGATGTTGGTTACAGGAGGGGGGACACCTTGACAGGTCCAGAGGTCAGCAGAGCCTCAATTGCAATATCTACCAAGGCCTGGAATGCTGGGCAAGGGAAAGTTTCCTATTGCCCATACTATATTGACATGAACTTCAGAGGACATAGAAACATGTTCTTTGGAAATTTGCCACACCCCAACAATTGCCAGCTGAAGACCATGGATCCCTGATGAGGAATCTCTCCTCCCTTCCAAAGAGTGCTAGTTAGAAAGAAACTTGATGTTAGGGCCTATAAAATGATGGCCAAGGCTTACTGTACAGATTCTGATGGTTTTTCTGGAGTATGTCTTCAGGGTACCTTTGAATATTGCCAGCCTAGGAAGGAATCCCAACTCCCCACCTTGTAGAGAATCCTGAGTTCCCACACAACCCAGTCCCAAATCACTTGCCTTCACACCCTCTCCAGGATCTTTGGTCAATGTCCAAGACTGTACATTTATTCTTCTCTTACCTGCTCAGATTATCAAACCTTCTAGTCCTGGACCATGGATTCCTGACCAGCTGAAGGAGCTGGAGATAAGGAAGGTTCCTGCAAAGAAGATGTGAGGACAAGAGGCCGGACTTACAGCAGAGCCTGGAAGGAGACCTTGATTAACCTCAGCTAGGCTGTCATTTACTGCTGGTGGCCTGTATTCTACCCAGCAGGCCAGTCAGAAATGAGCTCCCACTGTCACAGTGACAGTGAGAACAAAACATGGTATCCCACTGGCCAGGAACCACCCAATTCTGTGCCAACTTCCTGCTCACAGGGCAAGGCCTCAGTGAAATCTCTGCGGTAACAGCTGATCAGATATGTGCTAACTGCAGACATCCACCTGTGGTCAAAGACAATTGGGCACAATGCTTACTGGGGACCTAGAGAGTTCACTGTCTGATTTATGTCCCCTGCACATTTGGCTTCAGAATGGTTCTGCAGTCTCTTCAAGGGCTCTCCACCCAATGCTCACTTTTGGGACCAGAAACATCATTCTTCAGACTGAGAGCAGCCAACAGTGCATCTGTAGAGACCCAGGTGCCCAGAGATGACAGTCTTTCTCATTAGCCATGCTGTGGTGTTATCCTGTGACCTCACAGCCCTGAGTTGCAGGGGACCCTTTATCCAATGGGAGTCCTAAGGAGTCCCATCCTGGGAAGGGGCTCTTCTCCTCTCTATGGGTTGCCTATAGTTAGAGGAATCTGATACATGAGCCTAGAGCCTAGAGCCTAAGCAGGGATAGAAGAGGGTTATGCCTGATCTTAGGAGATGCCTGGATTTCAGGATGCCAGAGCCAAGCCCACTGAGAGGTAGGGTATGAATCACAGACTTCAAAGCACTAGACTCATTAAAAAGCTTGGGCTTGCCAGCTTTAATCAACCAGGTCTGACACTGATTAATAAAGACAACTAAGCAAGTAATAATAAAGAACAGACAAAAGGGTTTTATTCAGTGCACTTGAAAGAGGGACAAAGGCTTGGTGACCTACCTGCTAAGTCCATCTTTAGGGTCCTGGCATGAGGTTTCTGCTTAAGTATAGTGCCAGTTATATCCATAGATAAGCAGTTCTGGCCAAAGTGTGGCCCCACCAATCACTGTCTGGACTCCAGTCCCTCCTGTAAGGCAGTTTAGTAAGTTGTCAAAACTGAATCTCTTTCTAGTGGACAAGATTCGCCTCTGGCTAAAGCCTTTTCCTTCTCTCAGCATTGGATTCCTGAGGGAATTTCATTTACTTGGGGATCCTAAGTGGAAGGGAAGGACTCAAGTGTCTCTTTCGGATATCCTCATTCCTACCCAACAGACCAGTTACACTGGTATGTGTGGCTGGAGGCTGGAACCCCACTCATCCAAGACTTCACCTGTTCCTAGTGGACAGTGTATCCCCAGGGAACGAGGAGAGAAGGCAGTGGAGAGAGCATGGTGATAGGGATACAGCCCAGTCAGAGTGAGCAGCAAAGACAGAAAAGCCCCCTCTTGGGTTCAGCACCTGTTGTGCAAGGGAAATGCTGAGGGCAGGTGAGAACAAAAGCACCAGAAAGGTGGGGCTTCCAACCCCCCCCCCCGTGAACTGGGGTTAGTGACCGCTTCAGACAAGGACTGGTAAATGACCCAGCCCAGCTCCGGGCTTCTAGATGGCTGTTCTGCATAGCAAAGCTGGATGGAGTCCTGTAGCTACAGACTCTGGGATCTCCTTGCCTCCCTTCTTTCTTGGCCACATTTTGATATCTGGTGTCTCAGAAAGTCACTGACCACAGCGATGGAACTCTGGAGAAGAGCCCTGGGTCCCATTCGAAACCCTTCCACAACTAGCTAGAATCACTCAGACTATGAAGGAAGGAAGGTGGTGTTATGTGCATGTATCTCTGAGGGGAACTTAGCCCCTCAGTGTCCCATGTGAACTTTTGAGTACATGGTACCAGGCATGACATCACTCCATACTTGGGAGGTCATCACTGCCTCATCAGAGTAAAACATAGGTTAGGCCTTGGAGTGGTACCCAGCCTCTCTGCTCCTCCTCTGTCTGCTTATTGTGCTCCTAGGTCCTAAATCAACAAGGGTGTGCTTGGCCACACAGCGACACATAGGAAAGCAACACGGGCTGTGTGGGCAGTGAGGAATTGGTGAGTTAGACTAACCTTGGTGGGCTTTAAGCTGTAGAGTGGTCCCTGGTACATGGGACCAACCTGACCTGTGATGATTAAGGTGAAGAAGTTCCCCCTCTCTGAATGTATAGATCAGACAGAGGGGTGCTGCTCTGCTAGTTTGCTGCTCACAGATACTTTTGATGTGACGATAACTCTGCTGTGTCTAAGAACTAGTTTGCTCTCGAAGGGTCAGTGTCTCCCCAGATCAAATGACATTCCATTTTGTTTCATTTTTAACGTGTCAAAGAATAATTATTTATGAAATTATGTATGTATACACACACACAGGTTCGTGCACAAGCACATACTACCTAGCACCTACACTGAGTCTCTACAGAAGTGACATCAGTCAACAACTGCCCTAAGAGTTTCCACAAACTTCACTAATATCGACCGTCAAAAGAAGAAAAGGAGGGGAGGATGCATGCGAGTTGGTGTCAACAGATAACATTTTGAAATAGGAAAAACTCATGAAACAAGAAGAAAAAGTGATGAAATAAGGAGGTGGGAAGTAAGATCTTTTTTAAAAAAAGGAAGACTTACCGTAAAGAAATGACCAAGATTTAAACACAAAACAATGTATACATTTGTTGGAATACAGTGTGAGGGCAGAGGGGGTGACAAAGGCATCAGAGATCACCAGCTATGTCCAGGCAGCATCTTCAACCTACAGCAGCCATCATATCAACAAGGTTGCCAAAGAAAGGGGAGTGTGGCAGAATGGAGGTAAGTTGGTAGTGTATAGCATTATGTGCAAAGGCCTTGGTTTGATTCTCAGCACTTCATAAACCTGGGCATAGTGACTCACACCCATAATCCCAGCACTCAGGAGGCAGAGGCAGGAGGATCACAAGTCCAACATCGTCCTCCAGTACCCAGCAAGTTTTAGACCAGGTTGGGTTACATGGGAGAAAGTCTCAAGAAAGGGAGAGTGGGAAGGGGATTGTTGACTTTAAATGGGAGCTATTTTCACCCACACCTAGAATTTAAGTAATCAAACAAGATTTGAATAGTTTGAAAAGCCACTAAGTTGATCTGCAAGTGTTACAGGTTATACAAGACTGTATCCTGAGGCACCAGAGGTTGTAACGAAGGCCATGTGTGAGGGGGAGATGCCTTGCCTGCCCTTTGCTCCCGGGAAGAACATCTGGAGTCTTCCTGGGGAAGTGCCACATCTCAAATGGCTCTCTGGTTTCTGACCTACACAGTAACACAGACCCCCTCCAACTGAATGTGCATGCAGTTCCAAAGAGTCGTACACCACTGACAAAAAACAGAGATGCAAAGGCAGGACCCAAACAGACAGGAACAACGGAGACAACCATAGGTGGCACCCCCTCCCAGTGACATCAATAGAATACACAGGTATCAAGAGGTCATGTTCTCCAGGTTTTCGAATGCCTGAAATCACCGAACCATCCAATACACACAGTTCCGCACCACAGCCTGGACTGCTAGTCCACTCCACATCCGTGTTCAAAACAAACTGTTGCAGTAACTTCAGCCTAAATGCCTGGCTGGGAGAAATGCTCTCACACTTTCGCATATAGATGTGCTCTCTCTCTCTCTCTCTCTCTCTCTCTCTCTCTCTCTCTCTCTCTCTCTCTCTCTCTCTCTCTCTCTCTGTCTCTATCTCTATCTCTCCACCAGTGTAAGGAACTGGAGGGAAGTTTGATCTCCTTTCTGCACAGGTGTAGGCAGTTGCATGCAAAATGGTGCCTCAGTTTAACCCCATGCTCATCAGGGACCTGTGTCCTTTCTCAGCCTGGTCCACAGACCCTTCATCTACACCCTATATGTAACCCAATCAATCATCAAAGAGACAGACCAACATCTAGGCTTCCTCTTACATTAAGCTGCTCATTAGCTCATGGCCCAGTCCCTAGCCACTAGTTCATCCTTCTGGACGCTCACAGCTTTCTGACCATGAGCCAATATAGCATTCAGAAAATTTTAATAGAACTTTTAAAAAGTTTAAAAAAAGTAAAGAAAAACATTGCAAGCAAACTTGAGCTCCCATAAATGACTACTTTTCCATTAGTGAAGAGGCAGACCATCATAGTACTCAGCCTGTGGTTGGCATGGCTACCAGGCCCAAACAGTAATGAGGGAATAACACCACGGCCAACTCAAGTTCTTGGTTTCAGCTACATCCTCTGAGATGTGCAGACAATGCAGCATCAGCCACACTCCCCCTCCACACAAACACTAGAGCATCTGCATCCAATAATGTTTGTTAGCCTGACTCCATCCTCCACTCCAGTGGTTCTCAACCTTACTAATACTGTGACCCTTTAATACAGTTCTTCATATTGTAGTGTTCCCCAACTATAAAATTATTTTTGTTGCTATTTCACATCTATAGTTTTACTACTGTTGTGAATCTTTTTATTAATTTTTTAATTAAAAATTTTTCATTTTACATGCCAACCCTACTTCCCCCTCCCTGCCCTTCTCCTACTCCCCTTTCCTCCTTTCCCACCCCATCCATGCCTCAGAAGGGTAAGACCTTCCTTGGGAAGTTGAAAGTCTGGCATTCCAAGTTGAGGCAGATATAAGTGCCGCCCCACTGTATCAAGGCTGAGCAAAGTATCCCCCATAGGTAATAGGCTCCAAAAATCCAATCCATAACCCTGTTGTGAATCTTAATGTAAATATCTAATATGTAACCACTGTGAAAGGGTTGTTCAACTCCCCAAAGCGGCTGCGACCCATAGATTGAGAACCACTTCTGTACCCATTATCATTGTCACCATGGAGGCAACAGGCGAAAACTCTCCAATTCTTCCTCAATTACAGATTCTGAGCTGAAGGAGGTGTCCCCTGTCATGAAGTTTCAAACCTTCTGATCGTTCCTAATAGCTTACTCACCAGCCCATGGGCCAATGTTCTAACATGTGGACAGACTAGAGAGAGAACACACTTTGTTAGCTACTAGGGACAGAGTACATCCCACAAATTCATTATTAAAGACTTAACTAACCATCTACATAGCAGAATGCAACTGTGTTCAAAGAAACCTTCTTCCCAGAAATAAATCAAAATGAGGCTATCTTTGTGGGGCCCATCTGAAACACCAAAAGCAAGAAA